TGATAGCGAATGTTAATGAAAACCGAATTTGAAATCTTTAGCTCACACACGGAAGAGGGCTCATCAGCTTTAGCTCATAAAGTTTTTGCTTCCTACGTTGATTGGAACTGTTTCCTACCAAAAATTTTGCATGTTTTGTTTTCGGTGTCTATTCATAAAACCCGAACATACAGGACGCTGATTGTAAAACAGGAAAGGGCCGCGCATGGGCTAAGAACATGCTCACAAAATTTCAGCTTTTGGACTTCTCCGGTTCTCGTGCTGAAAATGAGTGAGAAAGTCCAATCATCCAAACAGGCATATACACAACCTCCTGATGTATACCATTTTGCATTTGCATATTTTTTTCAATCCCAAACTGCGACGCACCAGGCTTGCCGGTGCGATCGTGTGTTTTGCATCAGACTTGTACCGGTCAGATTGTTAAAAGCATGATCGATTCTTGTGTGGATATAAGTTGGCGGTGTTTTAGCGCTTTCTTGCATACGGATTGGGGTGATAGTGTTGCATTGTGGAGTTGCGTGAACCTACGGTGTTTATGATTATCAGTTTTTTGCATGAAGCCCGGTCGTTTTTCCGCTGAATGCCCGTTCATTGAAAAAATGCATGTTTGAAGGAAGTCGGAAGAGAATTATAAAATCTGAAAAATGCACTCGCTTTCGAGTTTACGTCAAAAATGTGTATTTGGGGAGTTTCACCTTCAAATCGAATTAAGGCTACATGTGAATATAGAATACCCTTACAAAGTTTCAGCTTCGCAGCTTGTCTGGTGAGCAAAATAGCCACTTCGCTGCAAATATCTTTGAATTGCCCAAAATTGCGGAGCAAGTATAAATCGAAATTAATTTAGATATACGATTTCTCATATGGATGACAAATATTCTAACAAAATTTCGGCTGCTGTTTCCTGGTCAACTTTCGAGTTAGCAAAGTGCCAACAGCGAAGTTTGACATGACTGTGCGCGTGGCACAAGCATGCGCTATTGCTGAATTTGAAATGTTCAACTCACAAATGCACAGAGAATATCCTTGAAACATTGTAGCTCTCTATCTTCAACTCATACACGCACAGTCTGGTTCCCTAATCGTTTTCCGCTAAAAAGATTTGCATATTTTTTTGGGGAGGACTGTACACGAAATATAGGCGCGTATGAGCGATGATTTTAAAATGGAAGAGCGATAAATGGGGTGGGAATGCACCGTAAAATTTCAGCCTCCTAGCTTTTCCGGTTACCGAATTGGAAGTGGGTGACAAAGTCCACGTTCTTTCGAACACACACACACACACATGCACGGGCGACCTGTCAACAATATGCATTTTTACTCACTACAGCAGCGCTATAGCGCTGCATC